TTCTAATCTTATTTATGTATTAATTGTTGTTAGTATAAGTGATTCAGGTTAATTACAATTATATTTTATGGAAGAAGTTTAAATAAATTTAAAAAAAATTTCATTTTTAGAAACAGGACGATAAAAAGTGTGATTCATTGCCTAAGGTATATTCGTTTTGGCAAGATCTAGGAAAATCCATTCAACGCTTTGGTATGAAACCATCTTTTGTACAGTCTGCTCTGAAGGATAATAAAAATTATGGATCTGAAAAAAATACAACATCAAAAAGTGTCATTCATAAGTCTAATGAAGCTATTCCAACTAAAGTATGTTTTGTGTATATAGTTATGCCATTCTAATATTCGTTAATAGGTACATTTAAATGTTATTTTGATATGATTAAATTTAGTAGTGTTCAATTAAATCATACAAAATAATAATAATATGGATTTAATATTTACCTACATTATTTTTTGAATATTTATTTTTCTCCCAAATGATCTGATATTGATGTTTGTGAAATGGAATTTGAGTATTATTCATTACCCTGAGTGTTCTGTGAACTGATTTTTGTATTAATTATAATAATAATGGTTTAAGCCTTAGTCCAGATACATTACATCCTACCAAGAAATTGATTACTCAAGTAAGTCGAGATAAATAAATCTCAGTAAAAAGTAAACATAGTGTACAATAATAAAATGTTATTTCAAAAGAATCTCATTGCAATGCTAGAATATTCTGTAGTTCCCTTCAGTAGTAATGTTCAATTAACTAATGCCTTACATAAATAATAGAAAACAATTGCAAATGGATTTTAATACTTAGTCTATTTTTGAGAGTTTTTTTCCTTCAAATCATCTGTTATTGTTATTTGTGAAATTGAATGTAAGTATTATTCTTTACCCAGAGTGTTCTGTGATCTTATTTATGTATTAATTGTTGATTTAGTATTAGTGATTCAAGTTAATTACAATTATATTTTATGGAAGAAGTTTAAATAAATTCAATGAAAATTTCATTTTTAGAAACAGGATTATAAAGTTAGTGATTCATCGACTAAAACTAATGAATTTTCATTTAAACGAGATCAGACAATACCAATTCAACGCTTTTTTATGAAACCATCATTTGTACAGTCAACTCTGAAGAATAATATGAATTATGGATCTGAAAAAAATATAACTTCAAAAAGTGTCATTCATAAGTCTAATGAAACCGAACCTGCTAAAGTATGTTTTGTGTTTATAGTTATGCCATTCTAATATTCGTTAATATGTACATTTAAATGTTATTTTGATATGATAAAATTTAGTAGTGTTCAATTAAATCATACAAAATAATAATAATATAGATTTAATATTTACCTACTTTATTTTTTGAATATTTATTTTTCGCCCAAATGATCTGATATTGATGTTTGTGAAATTTAAGTATTATTCATTACCCAGAATGTTCTGCGAACTTATTTATGTATTAATTGTTGATAGTATCAGTGATTCAAGTTAATTACAATTATATTTTATGGAAAAAGTTTAAATAAATTCAAAAAAAATTTCATTTTTAGGAACAGGATTATAATGAGAGTGATTCATCGACTAAAACTAATGAATTTTCATTTCGACAAGATCAGACAATACCAATTCAACGCCCTTTTATGGAACCATCATTTGTACAGTCAACTATGAAGAATAATATAAATGACGCAACTGAAAAAAATACACCTACAACAAATGTCATTCATAAGTCTAATGAAGCCGTTCCTGCTAAAGTATGTTTTGTATTTATAGTTATGCCCAGTAGCGTATCCAGGGGATGGTTAGGGGGTTATAACCCCCCCTCCCCCGAAAATGTTTAGTGTATGTATATTGTTTATTGATTATAATAAAAACACACAAAATTCAAAAAAAATTTAATGTTCCATTTTTTATCCCCCCCCCCCCTCCCAAAAAAAAAAATTCTGGATACGCCACTGGTTATGCCATTCTAATATTCGTTAATAGGAGCAGTCAAATAATATTTTGATATGATTAAATTTAGTAGTGTTCAATTAAATCATATAAAATATTAATAATATAGATTTATTCCTACCCACAATATTTTTTGATTATTTTTTTTTTTCGTCCAAATGATCTGATGTTTGTGAAATTGAATTTAAGTATTATTCATTACCCAGAGTGTTTTGTGAACTTATTTATATATTAATTGTTGATAGTATCACCGATTTAGAAATACAACTATATATTTTGGAAGAAGTTAATATAAATGCCAAAAAAAAATTTTTCAGTTTTAGTAACAGGTTCATACAAAGAGTGATTTACTGACTAATACCATTGATTATAAATAGTATTTATAATCAATGTTAATACTAAGGTATTTTCAACTCCATGGTTTCAGATTACATTCTTATCGTAAAGCTGTAATGTGGTATCATCATTACAATGTTTAATTATGGAATCTCGAAATTGTTCACCTAATAATATATTTAAATCAGGTGCGTAGCCAGTGTTGGTGTTACAGGCGTAGTATCACCCCCCTCCCCTTGCTTTGTTATTTTTATGTCTTATAAAGGTAAAAATTTATCATGAACCGTGATGAACACATATGTACATATTACGACAACAGTAGCGTAATGCCTGGATCCGGCTTCTCATTACACTGTTTTATTTAATAAACTAAAGCCGTGATTTTCTATTTTTTCATACACGATTTTAAAATACATATAAGAGGCAAAATGTGTACTTGATATTTTAATATTTATACACTTTCTCATTCATTAATATAATACACATGAATAGAAATTCAAGTATTATATAATTAAGTTTTTGTATGCTTGTACAATAAAGTATACGTTAAGTTTTTATTAGTCGATTAATTTTAAATAACACCCCCCTTTTAATTTACCTAGTTGCGTACCTGATTCAAATAATTTATTGATCTAATTAAATTTACAAATACAGTCGAACTTGGTTATCTCGAATTACTTTAACTCGAAATCATCGATACCTCGAATATTTTCGTTGATAACTCGAAGTTTTGAGTTTTATTAGTATTATAAAATTGTTATATTTCCTTTATGTACCTATGTATATATTTTATTATGGAAAACAAGGTTACTCATTAGTGTTATCGTTAGTGATACGTGGTTTGTCTAACTGGTTGACTACACGGGACAATGCATGACTTCAGTGTTTTATGCTCTGTGTTCGTTTCAACGTTATCGTACCTAACTTTTCGTTCGTAATGTCGTCATCAAAACGCGTGCTATTAACGCTAATATACGAGAAAAAAGCGGCAGCTATACGGGAGGTTGAAAATGGATTGAAAACAAAATTTTTGATAGCTAAAAATTTTGGTATTCCACTTAACACTTTGTCAATTTATCTTGAAAATAAAGAAACAATTTTGAATAAGTTGGCTACGTCCAGTAAAAGAGCTAGAGAACCAGAAAATCCTGATTTTGATGAGTGCGTTTACAAATGGTTTAAACAGACACGTGACGAAAAAATACCCTCTGGGTGGACTGTTGATATATACTTTATTTACTTAATTAATAATAAATACATAGGAATTACCTAATATATTTTGTACTGTTTTATACATTTTTAATTTGGATAACTCGAACTTTTTCCGGTCCCTTCAACTTCAAGTTAACCAAGTTTGACTGTAGTTCCAAAACCATCATCAGCACCTACTTCAAATTTAATATAATTGATACTTATATTTATTAACGCTGTTTCTTGGAAATTGAATATTATAAATAAAATTTTTTTCCCCAACTATTTAGTACTTTCTGTTTTTATTATTATCTCCCATTTTAGAATTTTATTGTATTTTTGTAATTTTTCGTTCTTTTATACCTACTTAAAATGTTTTTTAAATCATAGACTCTTTCAATACCATCCAAACTCGTCACGGTATATATAATTACAAATATCTTAATTTTTGTCAAAACGTTGTCGCCTAGTTATTTAAGTTATTATCTTCTAGGCGACAAAAAATATTTACTGGGTGACAATTATGTCGTCCAATATTTTTGTTTAAAATATGCACGGCTTTTATATTTATGAATTACCAGAGATAATTTAAAGGATTCAGGTATACAGCTTTCGACTAGGATATCAGTAATATGTTCCTTTGTTTTATTTTTAAATTTTTAGCAATTCCGTCTTTTCCTGGGAACGGATCACCTATTATGTCTGTTATGATTTAAAGAATTTCTATTTTAGTTATATTTCTGAGATATAGTGTGATTGGTCGTAGTCGGGCTCAATAGGCGGTATGCTTTATTATTAAGTGAGTTGACATTTATTGTGTTTCCTATCTTAGGAAAGTATGTGTTAAAGTGTTTGCTATTCAAAAGGAGTTGATGTAATAATAATCATGTATTACGTTATTTCTAAACGACCAGCCGTTGCAGAGGCGAACGGTTACCGCAGTCGCGGACGATTCGAAAATAATAACGACCGCGTAGTCGTCGTCGGCCGCGGATATGGGGGTGGCGGTGCGGCGGGGCAGCGGTGAAAGTGCGCGCAACTATTACGATAACGATTGTGAAGATGATACGGACGAGCTGGCAACGAAGCGTCTGCGATTGATAGCGAACGGTAATTTCGCGCGTCACGAACAATGAGGGTTTCGCGCACGCGTCTCGGTAACGTTTGCCGCTCGTTCGGAGGCGACCGCGTACCAGTGGCGTATATATAGGGGAGGGGTGGGAGGGCCTTGTGGGCTACAGCCCCTCCACCCCGAAATGTTTTAAAAAAATTAAAAAATTATTTTAAACGTATGCTATATTTTAACGGTGCTTTACGCTTGTTTGAAATTCGCGTCCGACGTCAAACATGTCTTGGAACATTCTGTAAATGAAATGTACCTACTGCGTCTTGTTAGTAATTCTTAGACAGCAATGGCAATTTAACTCTGTCCGCGGTAGTAGCCCCTCCCGAAAATATTTTCTGTACACGCCACTGCCGCGGCAGTTTCGATCCGTCGCCGCCGTGAAGGGGAAGGGGAACGGAGCGAACGGACGACCGGCGGGTCGCGGTCAACGCGGACGGGGCATCGGTAACGCGCGCCAGCGACGACGGAGCGTTCGAATGTGGTTGCGTTTCGCGCGCGCTTTTTCCCAACGACCGTCGCCGTCCGGTGATAAGGCGCGCGGCGGCGTCCGCGGATCGCTATCGGCGACGCGGGGTGGCGGTGCCTCCGACGGCGTTGCGCACGCGCACTGACGCGCTCGCGCCATAGATTATCCAGCTGCCAGCAGCGACAGCAACGGCGCGCTTCGACACTGGGCAGCAGCAGTAAGCACCATCGCCGTAACGTCGTACTTACCCCCGTACCCGTACCCTACCGTACGAACGACGGACGCCAACCGCGCCGACTCAAAGCAATACACACACACACACACACACACACACACACACACACACACAAACACATACACACCGTAGCGCCAGCGACGGCTGCAGCAACGACGACGATAACAACAGCGGCAACAACAACATTAATTTTTTTTTTTTTTTAATAACAACAACGACTGCAACAGCGGCAACAAGAATATTTTTTTTTAATAACGACGACGACGACGACGACGACAACACAACAATAACCACTACCACAACAGTAACAACAACAACAACAGCAACAACAACAACATAATCGTCGCCGTCGACAGAACATTGACGACGACGTGATTTTGCGTCCAGTTTTGCCGCCGGAATCGAGCAACGTAAACATTATATTATCGGTGTACCTGACACGTACCGAGACAAGTGCCGCCGCCGCAATCACGTAACCGACACCGTCGTCATCATCATCGTCAACAACATCGTTGCCCGTCAACAGCTTCACCTCGTCGTAGGCCCGTAGACCCAGACACTCGTCAACGGCCGTGAAACGATATTGTTCGCGTGACACGCAATCGCGCATTTATGTATCGGCGGAAACGTCTGGTCGCGAATCGGTGTGAGTCGTCGTTCGCGGTGCGCGACGCACGTTGTTCGGCCGCCGGCGGTCTCGTCCGTTGTCGTTATCGTTGTTGTCCGGGCCGCCGCCGCGTTTCCCCGGCTCCGTCGTAGTACCGCGTAGTTCGATCCGGGCTTCTAACCCTTCCGCTTGCTCGCCGTTCTCGCTTAACACGCCGCCTCCGTACTGTGTAAGACTTGACGCACACGCAATCGCTGGCGCACGCCGTGCCCCGACGCCGCTGCTACTACGTCGTCGTCGTCCGACGTTGTCGTTCGGTCGCGCGCGATGCCTTCCGTCGCAGCAGCCGTAGCCGCAGCCGCAGCCGTCCGGAATCCTTTGTTTTGCACCCGAGACTCGAGTCCGTCCGGCGGTCTGCGATAGCTTTCCGAGCGGCCGCGCACCGAGTCGGGCCACCGTCTACCGCAGCAGCCGTTGACGACGGCCATCGTCGGCCGCCTCCTCCTCCGCCGCCGCCGCCGCCGCCGTCGTCGTCGTCGTCGTCTTACGCGCCCGCGATTTCCGTCTTCGCGCGCCTACCGCTGTTCCTCCGGCGTTCTTCGTCGTTGCCGTCGTCCCATCCCGTGCCGGATAGTGACCGTCTCGTTTGTGTCCGACAGCATGAGTGACGTCGCCGAACAGATCAAAGACGGCAGCATCATACTGACGGCCAGTCCGTTTTCCAATATCGGTAAACAAGACGTTCTGAAAAGCGCCGTTGACGTGCCCGCCACAGTGAGTAATCCGCGTCGTCAAATAGTACACGATTTTCGTCTGGCCGACGTTGTTCCTCTCTTACGGATTCGTCCGTATCGTCTCGATTTGAACACTGCCTTTACTTTCACCAAGTCCATCTTTGTACACAAAATTTTAATCTGCCCGACTACCTAGTGACATAAAACATCATTTGAATCCATTTCAGTAGAAAATGAGTTTTTCTCAATCAGCCATGTTTATTATTCGTTTATGCTTACTAGTCGTTTGATATCTGAAACTTTTGTTTATTAGTCTAGTTTTTTTTGTCCAAAATCAATGTTTGATTAAATTTTTTTTCCAATGGTCAAACATAGTCATCTGTAGTTGATCTATTGTATCCGTTTTACTCTACTATTTTTGGCATACCAAAATAATGCTTTCTGTTTGCATCCATTTTAAAGTGCAATATTCTGATGTCTATCATGTGGCTTAGTTCACGTAAAACCGCATTGTGTATTATGTGTATAATGTTTAAATTATTTTGTTTGAAATGGCATCACTGTTTTTTCAGTAGGCATGTTTCACGATGTTTTCAACAATTTTAAATATAGTGCTGCCTTGTCTATCATTGACTAAAACACTTGGAAACTAATTTACTGTCCCTAGGCCTAATTTCATTATTACTTCCATGGCCTGATTTATTTTCCAGATGCTTCTACTTTTAAACTGCAATACTCAAAAACTTTTTCTAATCCATGGATCTATTGAAAATAATAGTAATTTTTTATAAATTTATATTAATATCGTAGCTATTAAAATATAAGTTGCTATGTCTATAAACACTGAAGCCTTTTGGTGTTTTGTATAACAAATAGTCTGTTAAAGAAAATAACTTTTGAAAAATTAACATTAAAGTTCTATCATTCATTTGTTTATTTGATTACTTGTTTAGTGTACCTAAAGATTTTTAATGTATTTATAAAGATTCAAATTAATGTATGGTATAAATTAGCTTGAAATTATATTACAATAGGTAGATATTAATCACTTACATTTTATTGTTTTGCACATTTTGCTTTTTGGAGTACCACAATGAACGTTTCTTTGAAAAATATAGTATGTTATTATAGTTATTGAATTTATATTGTAACTCTGCTTATTTAAAAATATCAACAATTTAAACACTAATTTATTTATTGATAAGCAATTACTCCAAAATTAAATAGTATTTACACACACATATATATGTATAGTATAATATGTATTATATTAAGTATTATTTTCATTGATTATTTGGTTTTGAAATGGCGAAATAAAAAAAACTTAAATTAAAAATATTTTTAAAAAAATTGTATTGACCCTAATTATTGGTTTGAGTTCACAAATTTATCAAAATTAATTTTTTTTATTTATAATCCTAAGTCTTGTTTTGCTTAATGCAATTACATAAAAAAAGTAAGTAATACTTATTATAAATACATACATCAAATTCAAATTCAAAAATTATATATATATTATAAAATTATAATCTCAATTATGATATATTTAAATTTATGATTTATTTTTGTTACCAATATAATGTTTGATGATTATGGTTTTCATTTTTTTATAAAATCAATGTGTTTTATCAATTTTGAAAGTATAAAAATTTTGAATGTTTAATATGGCCTTAAAATTATTATTATTTAGATAACTTCTTGACTGATATAATAGGTCATAAAGTGGTCATTAATAACCACCAGAATTTCACTAGATTACACTTTAAGTTTGACTAAACTGAGTAACCTTAGACTAAATTGTATATTGAAATTGAAATTGTTGTCGTTCAATTCCTTACTGTATATTTTAAATATTTGTATTTATAATACTATTATTATATGATTAAACCTGTTATTTACTGATAATTTAATGTAATTTGTTTGATAAACAGTCATTTTCAAGTATTTAAAAAAAATTAATAATTTTTTTTAGTTAAAATGTATAGCAAAAATGATAATTTAATTGTTTTCTCGTTTTCTATACCAAATAATTAAAACATTTATTTTTATAGGCATACAAGATGTGTAATTCATCAACCCTACCCTCAACACAATTCTCAACAATTGGAAATTCCATAATAAAACCAGGTATGCTATAGTATTTTATGTACTCAATATTATTTATCTAATTATTGAAATATTTCTTTGAATTTATATTTTATTTATTTATGAGATATAAAACATATACCAGCTAAAATATAACAATTACAATCATGTATCTATAGATTTATGTTTATATTTTGCTTGTTTATTAGGAATTCCAAAATTGTCTGCACATGCTGTTAGTGATGATGTAAGCATTTGTCCTGTAATATTACATCCTACAAAGCAGTTGAGTCCTCAAGTAAGTTGAAATATATAATAATTAAATCTTATTTTTTAAAAAAAGTTCTTTGCTATACTTAAATATTCTATGATTCCTTCCAATATTACTGTTCAATTAAAAATACTATACATAAGTAATAAAATATGGTTTTTGAAAAATATTTAATACTTACTTTTTTTTTATAGTTTTTTTTTTTTGCCCAAATGATCTGTTATTGTTATTTATGAATTTGAATTAACATATAATTCTTTTCATAGAGTATTTTGTAAACTTATTTATATTATTATTGTTTTGATACAGGTTCATATGAAGAGTGATTCACTTATTAAAACAATAGGATTTTCACCTTCACGATCACTGATTACATCCCAACCGCAAAGCCGTATTGTTACATCATCATTACAACGGTCAATTATGGAATCTCAAAATGTTTCACCTCTTATAATAACACCCACACCTCATGTTATTCATACGTCTAATGAAGCTGTTCCTGCTAAAGTATATTTATACTAAGTTAACTAATAAATAAGTGCATTCAAATAATTTCATGATTTTATTAAATTTACAGATAGTTCCAATACCATCATCAGCACCTACTTCACATTTTTCTGTAATAAATAAACCAGGTATTTTTAACATTTATCCATTTATATTTATAAATTTAGTTGAAGTATTATCACTATGAATATTATTGTTGGCACACGTGTCATATGCTACCTACCAAGAAAATCATGTCTACAAAAATCTACACATACATATCAATGCCTGTTGGTTTACAGTCGTCCTATATTAAATAGCTTGTTTGTTTACAGTTGTTCATATTTTTTTTTATTTTTTTACAAAAATGTTTTTTTTATATCTTATTAAAAACATTTAAAAACATTTTTTTGATTGACGGATCTCCACCAATCTTCTTGCAATTGTCTTTCAAGATTGGTCACTCCACGAGCTCTGATTCCTTACTTTACTTGCATTTGTTTCCACAAACATTCAATAGTCTATGTTTGACCACCTGTACGTGGATCTATAAAGTTTTTGCTGTGGTTAACTGTTTGGCTTATGGTAGATAGCATATGACACCAACAATTTGTTGGTAGATAGCATATGACACGTGTGCCTTATTGTTGTTTTTCCTAATATGTTTGGTTGGTGGTTTTCAGTTAATTAAATAACCAAGATTAATTTTGAATTCTTACAAAGTACATACTTAATGTTCATAGATAACATATTTATAAATTTTTTTATTATTTTTGTTACTTTATATCATAATATTAATAAAAGGGGTTTAGTCCTTACCTCAAATAAATTGATGTCAACTTTTGACTTATAAATTAAATTGTTGAAAAAAATAATGGAAACTTATTTGAATAATATACATTAAATGGTTATCTTCAACAATATTACCATCCTACCAATGATAAAATCTTCAATGATTTAACATTCCAAGAGTAGATAGAGTGTTAGATAGTGATGACTAGGGCTCAGAAGTTATTACATTAAAAAACATAAGTGATTGTATTATTGCTGTAAGGATATCCAAAGTTGCACTTAAAACAATTTTTTATATATTTTATATATACTTTTTATATATTTTTTTACTTTATGAATAAAGTAAATTGTATTGAAATGTTGACTAAAATAACTAAAAACAAATTTAGTAATAATTTAAAGTATTTTTTATTACTTCTATCATACTACAAATATGAGTTATTTTACAAAATATTTCAAAATAGAAATTCATATAAATACTGAAGTAGTGGTTTTAGTCTGGTCATCTAGGAGTCTACAAATAATATTGTCAACATTTAAAAACATTTAATTTGTACCAATTTTTTATTTAGTTTTTATATAAATTTGTGTGTCTATCTTGAAAATGATTGCTTTGCACAACAAATGATTTTTCTAAATTCTCAAATTCGAAATATCACCTGATTTAAGGACAGCAAGTTGTGCAACTCGTCATAATTGATAACCAAAATAACTATAAATTTATTATTACAACTTCTACTATTATTACAACATTATTTTTTACAACTTCTACTTTTTTCTATCATCAACCGATTTGAGTTATCAAAATTCCAATATATAAGTTAATACTATCATTATATAAACGATATTTAATAATATAATTATTATTTTTTTTTTATCTTAAAGAAATATATTAATAATATTAATATATGATTGTTCATATACCATATAATTTTGATAAATATCCTATATATGATACAAGTTTGATATGAGCAACATAAATATGTGCCACGATGGATGTAAATTGGGCTTTGCATTTTTACTTTAGCGTATTGGGTTTTACATACATCAAATACCTTACAAATCAAATTGGATTATTAATAAGTTTTAATGTTTATTTTAGTGTCTTATGACAGTATACCTGAGTATACTGGTATTCGTCAAAGTATGATATCTGGTGCACCTCCAGTTTACACACAGAGTGATTTTGCTCGTTTCCCCCCTAAAACTTATCATCATAAAAGTGCAGTTGTTAATCCAGCTGTCATTCATGGTAATTATGAAAGTTATTATTTTAATATATATATATTAAGTTACAAAATATGATAACATGTATTATCAATTTGTATGTTTATAAAGTTAGCAATTGATACATTTTGGCTTTAGATTGATCTAGAATTTTTTTATTTTGAAATTATTTTTGTAGTTAGTAAAAAAAAAATCTGTGATTCGATTTTAAAGTTTATTTTCAGTTTTTAATTGTTTATAATAATTTTTATTTTTATTTGAGTCTCTTTTGAAGTCTATATTGATATAGGGGGGACTATTTACTACTGTATCGATAGTTCACTAGCTGAGTTATGTATAAAAATGTATGTAAATTATTTTCGTGTTTCAACAACTAAATTTGAAAACACAGATGATTTAATAATTTAATTTTCCAGTTTGTTGTAGTTGGTAAAACATAAACATTGGAATAACATTTTTTTCTCCAAATTTCAAAATGGATGAAGAATATATTTCTCATTTATTGTGTAGTACGTAAAAATGAAAATATATACAGGTGTGGCGTAATGAACTCCCATATTTAAATTAATTATTACGATAGGTTTATTGGTAGGGTCATTAATAAGGTTTTTAGTCGTGGTAAAGTGAACAACGTCACAATCATCATCATCACAACATCACAATGTCGTGGTCAGGCGAACAACGTGATTGAGACATTTTTCAAGAATGCTAAGTATGATTGCGACGTAGAGGGCAATTTATACTCGGTTTGGTTTGAATCTAAATGAAAATATACCTAATTGGAAAATTAATTGAACACAAAACTTAAGAACTTTTTTTTTTTCAATCCGAAGATTGCTTAAATGATTATTTATATTTCTCTCCACTTATCTCTGTCATTTATAATCCTCATCATTTCCCAGTGTGTTTTTATTCCGGTATCTTCCATCACCTGATTCATAAATGGGCCTTCTTATTCCAGGTTTTCGTTAGATTTTTATTTCTATTATTGTGGTTATTCAGAGACTATTCCTTATTACGTGTTCGATCGATGGTTTCCTCCTCAGTCGTAGAGCATTCCATATTGACTTTGGGGTATTTATTCTTCTGAAAACCTTAGCATTTTTTATCTTTTACATCCATGAAATTTTTAGCGTTCTCCTCCAACTCCATACTTCAAAGGCTTCTATTTTGTCTTTTTCAGACTTCATTATTGTCCAATTATCTGCTCTATATAGAGATACGCTCCACACAAAGCTTTTTATAAGTTTTTTCCTGGTGTCCAGACTTATTCTGTTTAAAGTAAAACTTTATAATAGGCCTCTTTGGCCTTCGTTATTATATATATTATATTTGTATGGCTTTTTTCATCGTCTGTGATTTTGCTCCCCAGGTATGTGAAGCTTGGAACTGTCCCCAGCAATATTCCATCTAGCGTTATATTTGCATAAATCTGCTGTTCGCTACATATAAGAATTTTGGTTTTTCATTGATTTATTTACATGTGGTGTTCTTTAAGCGTATCGTTCATTTTTTCGAGCATGTTAATTTTGTCTTCTTCACTTTCTCCGACTACAACAATATTCTCCGCGAAACGCAGTATTTGCACAAGTATTCTACCTTTCTTTACTCCTCCGATGTTTTCTTTTCTTACTCCTTTTAAGGCTTCTTCTATAAATAGATTAAATAAGATAGGTGGTAGATCACACCCTTGTCTTACCCCCTTAGCATATTTAGCCTCCACTTGGTTATTACCTTTTTCAGCTTTTATAACTGCAATTTCATTGATGTATAGAATATGTATAATTTTTCCATCTTTATAGTTAATTCCAATGTCTTCCATAATCTTAAAAAGTTTTGTCCATTTGACATTATCAAAGGCCTTCTCCAGATCTAAGAAGGCAATAAATAGTTTTTCGTTGGTTCTAAATATTTAAGGACTACAGGATCTAAATAATGATAACTTTTGATTTAAACAAGATGAAGCCACTGCTCATACGACCTGTCGTTCTCGTGACATTTTGCAAGAAATGTTTCCTCGTCGCCTGATCTTTACGGGAAGATGTTGCATGGTTTCCTCACTTACCTGATTTGAGCCCGTTTGACTACTTTTTATAAGGGTACCTTAAATCTGAAGTTTTCAAACGGTGAATTGAAGAAATGAAAGAGGTTATCCGTCGATAAATCGATGGGATTCCACTCAATATGCTAGCGAGAGTGTTGGAAAATTTTCTTGAATAACTTTAAATGTGCGTCGCTCGCCGAGACTATAATTTGAAAGTATCATGTTTAAAAAATAACAAAAAAAAAACTTTATATATTATACTTTCTATTAATATACATTTTTTTTCATTTCTTATATCATTTTGTTTGTAATTCATCTCAGAAATGGGGGAGCCCGTTGTGTCGCACCTTGTACATAGAATCTGGTTGAAACTATATTCGAAACATGTTTTTAATGTCTTAAAACGCAGTTAATTTTATGTTTTAAACAAGAAAAATATAAAACAATACATTTTTTTTTTTTAATTGTATTTAATATAAGTAGTTTAATTTTTAATTACTTAAAGGTATACATTTCTGTAGCCTATATTTAAATTATTTTATTACTAAGTAAATACTCATTTTAAGAATATATAGTTTTTAGTTTATTTAATACAATTATTTTATTAGGTCCTATTACTGGAAATATAGAAGATTCTTGTATAAATATACCTAATAGTCAACATGTATTTAAACCAATTATTTCACCAAGACCTAGTATTTTAAGGAAACGAGATGCAGACGGGTAAGGAATAATTGTCATTAGTTAATTTTATAAATTTAATTTATATATGTTTATGATTTGTATTAAATATAGTGTACTTAGAGCCCAAAAAAATTTAATACCAATCTTGACGAAACCAGACCTAGAAGAGTGTCATGCGGATGATTTATCGCAAAATAGAAATGGATATAGTGAAAGTGGTTTACAAATAGAATCAATTATGGTACCTCAGATTCCAGAGGTTGTATTACCTCAAATTTCTGCTCTGTCTAGAAAATCACACATAATGGTAGAAATAAGTCCACGAAAAAAACCTCGTAAACAATTACTGTATGTATTTATTATACTAAAATATGTATTGTAAAGTTTTCTATTTTGTTTAAATTGCTCTACTGAATTAATATTCTACACTTTTTCTAGACCTGTTAATCAAGATAGTCCATTTAAAATAGTTGGTGATGAAATGGAGTATGTAGATGAAAAAATAATAAAAAATGATAAAACCGAAGAATATCCAGAAGAAGATGTTAATAATTGTAATGATGATCTTCCTGATGGTGATGCTGAAGATGAAGCAGAAGATGATTTAGATGATAATGATATGGACGTTGATGATGATTGTCCTGCAGATGACGACTATGATGAAAATGATGATGACGATGACTTCGGAAATGATTTTGGGGATGGTGAGATTCAAATTAAACTGTTTAATTATCGATTAAATCCTAATTCAATTATAAGTTAATTAAAATTATATACAATTAATTTCATTTCAGGTTTTGATTTTGTTAAATCGGATAAAAATTTCTATGAGGAAGTTAAACCATCCGTAAATGTCAATGATGAGAATTCATCTCTCCCTATAAAAAATAAACGACCAACCTTATTGGCAGGTTATAAAAATCCATTAAAAGGACAACATTCCCACCATTTTCAAAGGTATTGACTGAAGTTAATAATATTTTTATGATTGTCTATGATTAAGATGTTTAGTAGCATGATTAATAAGTCGAGCTTACTGGAATCAAGTAGTAATAATAGTAGTAAAGCCGTGGTTTCCTACGACCACGCATCCGTGATTGCGTGGTGCGCGATGCGTGATGACGCAAAAATTGAAAAAATAGTATTGATGTTTATTAATAATTCACGCACGTGATTGTCGAATCACGCACGTCAATCGCGCAGCAGTCGCCACGAGGATAACTTATTATGCGTGAAACGCAGTGTGGGATTAAATTATTTTATACATTATTAAAATATTTTTCAATATATTATTTATATTTTATATGTTTTATTTAATTTTTATTACTAATTAAAGTACTGAAACATCCCCCCTGCTCCGTTGACTAAACATTTCATGAATTCCATAACGGTAATTATTCGCAATTAGCAATAGTTCTTCATCTGCTTCGTACTCCAAAATTGTATAAAGCATAACCACGTCCATTTTGATGTACTATTAAACATCATCTGACTAAAATTTTCTACTCCAAACCACGCAGTCTTAAAAACGTATCGTAGCAAAACACTTCCATTATGCATCGCGCACCACGTAATCACGGATGCGTGGTTATAGGAAATCACGGCTTAATAGTACCAAGTAGTACTATAGGTATTAAGTACTATTAGTATTAATTAAGTATATATACTATATAGTAGAAACTATTTCTTGGGTTTGAAATCTGTAATGAGTATATATTTTATTATGAGGTTACATATTTAAATATGAAAACAATACTTGTTTCAGTAAATCCTTTAATTTACATCTTGACTTTAGAATTAAATACACATGTGAACAATATATAATGTCAAGACCCATAATAGTTTATTCAATACAAAAACTAATTCTTAAGAGTGACAATTCTGGTTTTCTAGCAAATTCTTAATGACGCCGCTCTACAATTCAAAATGTTGAAGTCAATATTGTAAATACCAACAACTACTACCATGTATTTTAAGGGCTAATAATGGTGTTATTTTATAACAGTACATTCTTATAAAGTACTGATTATGAACTGTTCTTCTTTATTATTTATACTCAACATTATTAAATTTACTATAGTATTTACATTTAAAGAATAAATCATAAATATTCTGATCAGTAATGTATTTGGTAGCTGATCATATAATATTGAAAGAAGGCGATCTTTTAGAATATAAAATTTTTTTAAAATTATTTAATCTATATAAAACGTGTGGCTTTTTTTCTTCTATAAATTGAGTATATAAATATAAGATTTATAATCTTATTTTCAGTTAAGAATAAATACACTTTGAATTTGAACTACAACTTTTTAAAAACAACAATTGTTAAGTTAATACTTCATATTCATTAAATATTTATGAACCAATTTCTGATATTTATATTTTAAATGAAATCACTGACAATTTATGACAACTGTCTATGTATTGAAAACATAGATAATCAATATTGTATGTAGATGGTATGAAGTTACTTATTACTTTATTATATTATATATATATTTTTTTTTTTTTGTATTTTAGGTATACAGATTACAAAATTAAAGAAACCAAAAAGCAACTTGCAGAAATGCAGCAAGCCAAAAAATGGATGTCAGATAGTAAATCTGGATGGAGAGTTAAAAATTTGATAGGGCAATTTGACGAAATGGTAAATTATCAATCTATTTTAATTATATCAACTTTTATTTTACCTTTAATAAATACAAATATTTTTTATTAATAAAATAGATTTTAATATTTTGATTTAAATAAAATTAAAGTTTTGGTTAGAACAGTTAAAAATTAAATTTATTATTCATATTTATTTGTTATTAACACTAAAAAATATGTAATTTTTCTATTTTTTCCCCTAAAATGTGAGGATAATTAAATAATATTCTTTATGTATAGTCTGTGTGTTTGGTGATAGCTTTTCTGATTTATCTATAAAATTTGATAGTGAACTTTTTTTTAAGTTTTAATCAGTATGCATAAACCATATTCCAAACTAGTTGCCCAAAACATGTTTCTTAATTTTTTTTTTTTTTTGTCTCATATTATTGACTATTTAAATGTTCTTTTGTAGTTTAAAATCTTTTTATAATTGAATATAATAAAAGTTTTATCTTAATTTAAAAGTTAATTAAAACAATTTACTAATATTATTAAGTAATAAGATATAATTTTAAACAATAATTTCTTTTGAATTACATATTGTGTTGATCAAATTAATACCTGATCATGTATTTTAATGTTTAAGATAAATAAAAACATAGCAAATACTTTTTGTAAGTTATTTTATAATAGTATTGTAGTAATTATTGCAGTAATCTAATTAGAGTAGATATGAGTCATTAACAAAAAAAAAAAAAAAACATTTTAGGGGAAAAACGAAGCAGATATTATTGTAGAAATGAGTGAAATATTAGATATATTTGAAGATCGTGTTGAAAATCTTGCTAAACGAGACGAACTCATTGAGCTTATTAAAGTATGTATTTAAGTAATGTTTTTATTTATTTTATTTTATTAGTTATCAAAAGTTGTATACTAAATATTGCTCTAGCTAATTATTTATTGTTACTAAAGTAAAATTGTGATTATATGGTATATACAGTACCTATTTAAAAATGTTTTTCTTCAATTTAATTTTTCAACTTGTTTTCAATATTAGAACTTTTAAATCAATTCACAGAAAATTATATTTTGTTCATTGTGTTTTTTATATTTTTTCAGAAAAATGTTCAAAGAAGTAAAGTTACGAAGGATCAAATTGAAGAAACTACTCAACAGCTGACTAAAATATTTGAGTATAAAACATTAATTGAAGACGTTGTGGATAAATATTGTCCCAAAGAACTTAAAAAGAAAAGTCCGAAAGTATTTAGCAAAACTTAGACGGTATATTTTAATTCTATTTAATTAATTATATTAATATTACATTTTTTTGAAAAAAATTTTTGTTTCATTTGAAAAAATGTGTATATCGTATTACGTTTTTTTGTCTTAATTTATTTCAATAGAGTTTTTTATTTTTATTAAGCTTTGTAAAAAATAATTTTTTGTAAAATATTGTAATTAAATGAAATTATATAAAACAATTATATATAAAATCTATTATTTTTTAACTAGTATTTTAAAATTACTTTTGTTTTTTTATTTATTAATTTTTTTATAGCATTTGACTCTTATTTTATTATAATTAGTTATCAAAGTCAACAAAACTCCTTTTTCCATAATGAAGTAGACCATTACTTACCGAAGCACGCCAAATTAATAATATTTATGATGGAAAACTAAAAAAATTTTTGCCAAATTTTGATAAGTTCAATTTAAGTTCATTTAATTAAATAAAATAACCATGAATATTTTAGATATGTATTGTCAATAAGAATCTAATTTCACTGCGTAAATATCTAAGATATTTTTAAGAAAATTACACTACAAAGTGCATCTCCTTGGCGTACAAAATATAAGTTTCAAGTTAGATATAACTTATTAAAAATAATCGATAGGAGTAGAAGATTTTAATTTTGGATTAGTACTTAAAAATTATATTGACTAAGGTTTTTTTTAATGATTTTGCCCTAATAAATTTATTTTAGTAATAAACTAGCTTCTGTGTACAATTTTAAACATGATATGTAAATATTATGTATGAAATGCAAATCCTATAAGCTATATTAATATTTTCTATGGACCAAAATATATTTTACATTTTATACATGATAATTTGATAATATGATTATATGAGAAAACCAACTAAATCAAATACTATACTAATAGAATGTATTTTCTATAATCTGTAAGATAAAATGTTGCAAATTTCTCATCTAATTAATTTAATCGGAAACATAATTTCAAATTAAAAATAATTATTTCCGTGTTTGGAGTTTATTACTTAGCCTTAAGCTATTCTATTCATAATGTTACTATGGTTATCATAACTTTTCGTACATATTTTATCCCATTTAATATAAAACTTTGGTATATTTAGCTACAACTATTGTATCATAATTTTTAACACTGAAAATAATTTGTAAATTAAGACAAAATCAGTGGTGGATTTAACTGCTATTCGGTGTATGTACCTATATAGAATTTTTTTTTTATACTTAGTCTATTAATTTTATAGTAACATCTTTAATTATTTTTTACAGAAATGATGAGTTTTTGTTGTAGCTCATATGAATTAAAACATTTATTGAATTTTATTGTCATAAAAATGCATTAAAAAGAAAAATGTAAATGTTGATTCTTCTAATCAAAATTTTTTTTTTTTTTAGTTGTTCATATGACATTTAATATTTGTTTTGGTCAAGAACAAAATTTTAATTATTTGTTTATGTCTCTGCGTTTAATTTAAACTTATTAGAAATTACACAATTCAGTTGGAGGCACTGAGAGTTCCCATGTTATATTTTTTGATTTAATTGAATCTCTTAGATCCGCCATTGGTAAAAACATAACACACATTTTTTTTTAAAAAATTTTGTTAATTGTATGTAATGTGTGTAAATTGTTTCAGGCTTATAATTTTTCTGATGATCATCATTTAATTTTTTGGGAGAAATTGTTTTGATAGCTTAGTGAAGATATCTAATCATGCTTGTTATTCATGCACTTGACATTGAAATTAAATTGCACTAATGTTCACATACATTAATATTAATTTTTTTGTGTGCACATACATTTAATACTATTAACATACCATTTCACTTGACCTTTGTGAGAAGTGTAATGTTTGATAATAACAAACTTAATTAAGTCTTAATTTTATTACTCCTGATGTTTTTAATGCATTTTGATGTACAGGAATTGTTAAAAATGGATACTCAATCTGAAACGATCCACGAGGAAACTTGTTGATCGATTATAATTCGAAATTGTGTGAAACACTATATAACAGGTTAAACACAACTGATTAATCCCTATTATGTTTAATTATGTTTATTTTGATTTTTGTATTCACTCTTATCGCAGGTCGTACATTTTAATGTTTTCGGATTATGGTATCCTGGTTGATTCTAAAGATGTTTATAAAAACCAATGGCATCTGTTTAACGGAATATATTACACGGAGATAAACATCTTGGTTAGGATTTTTCACCAAATCAATATCATCACACCTTTGAAAGGTATTTGCGTCAAATAATGTTACATGACAGTGTTTATATAGTATTGAAAACTATGACTGATTAGATTAAATTAGTTAAATCTTATAATACTTGTTTCATTCATTCGAATAAAAATTCAATTAATAATTAACCATATACAAAAGATGATTGCATTTATTAAATCATAATTTTCCCTCAACAGTAATATATGGATGAGGTAAATAAGACATTTAATTTTTTCTTTGCCTGTTTGGTATAACCTTATTTATCCTTTTTTTTTATATCACATTGCTATTATTATAGCTAATGGTTATTTTGAAAACTGTTTATTGGATATTATAAAAACAGTTGTCTGGGTATCATTGTTAATAGGTTGAGCAGAAAATTAATTTTATTAATAGTTCTTGGAAATCATAAGTCCTGTTTTAGACTTCTATTAAATCATTAATCAAATAAACATCAAATTGCATTTTTTTATTTTTTTTATTAAACTAAATACATTTTTTATGTTTGTTCGCTGTTAAAATCACTTAATATTACGTAGAAAATATGTATTTAATGAAACGCGTTCAAAACTGAACATAAGTAATAAAGTGGTTTGTTCTTAATATTAAAACAAGCCTAAAATAAGTTCTGAATTTCGATTTTATTCATTGGCAATTTTATACTTTATACACTATATTTTTATTTTTATATTGAACCGTGAAGGATTATATTTTAGGTTTTAATTTTTCAATAAACGTATTATATTATCTTCTAGAAATTTAGTATTATTACGTATTGACTATACTGAATATAAGAATCATACGTTTTTATAAACTTTATAATGTATGTACAGGGAGACTCGAAAATTTATTGGTATCGTGATAACTTTTGCGTGAATTAAAATAATCAAATTATCTTATTGTGGTATATTCTTATAATAACTTAAATGGCTGTAGAACACACTATTTCATTTTTTTTTTTTTTTTTAATAAACTGAATATTTTGGTAAAAATATTTTTATTTTTGTAATATTTGAAAATTACTAGTTCATTGATTCTTCTGAAAATGTTAGTTCATATCTCTAATTTCTGAAGCATTATAATTATTTTAATTCATAGTAAAATAGTTTTTTTTTTTTTTTAAATATATGTTTATCACTGAATTTTCTTTTTTTTTTATAAATTACCGTTTGATAAATATTTATCTTGTAAATTGTGTAGAAAAAATGATTTTAGAATTTTAGACGTCGAAACATTGATTTTACAAATGTATAAAAATATTTTGTTTGATATCCAAGTTTATTATTGAACACCGTGTTTTGACTACTAAATCAAATTGATCTTCATCGTTATAATTTTAAAATATTATTCGTACATAATATGATAGATGAGTTGTTTAATACCGTGTTTAAGATGAATTAATGCAAACTTTTGATTTATCGCAGTATCGGTGTACGATAAGCATGTGTGAAGCATTTTTTCATTAAAATCTGAAAATTGAGTACAATTTTTAAATGTATTTTAACTGAACATTTTTAGAAGAGTTTATAATCTATTAAGAGAGTTGATGGACTATTCGTGTTCCTCAAAACACCGAAATAAATAAATCTGATTAGTGATCATATACTTTAAGTTTTTATTTAAATTCTAACCATTCGTAGGGGTTCGATAGCATTATTTTGTATCTCATCATTATATCAAAACATTTGTGTTCAGATTTTACAATGGTCCAAATCAAATCGACCTATTCCGACCGGCTTGAGTGATTGCGTTTTGGTCGGGTACTACACAGGAATACACCGGTCAGTACTCACGTGCAAACTTTTTTCAAAACGCTAATGTTCTCATTACCCAAATCTGTCAACGTGTTCTGTTTACTATTTCACTAGCTGCCCACACACACACACAAATATATATATATATATAGGGCTGTGTTAAGGGAGGGGTAAAATGGGGTAATTGCCCCCGGGCGCTGTAGTGTTTTAAAAGTAAGAGGGAAAAAATTTTTCCCTAGGGCGCTGAAATGTTTGACGCAGCTCTGTGTATATATATATATATATATATATATATGTATTTATAAATATATGCACAAGTGGATTCGTAAACGCGGAGATTGGTTTCACTTGACAGAACTACGTTATTTGGTAATTATTATTGATCTACTTTCGATCGGAGTGAACCGTGATATATACGACGTGTAGAGTAAAAACTGGTCCTCAAATTCTACCCGTTTCGATCTTTCGTAGTCCTTTAAACACGCCAGCCGTAAGGCTTATCTTAACCACGTAAACACTCAAAGATCACAATATTTCTACTGATCATATTATGTCTTCTCGATATTCTTCTTTTTTTATTTACATTTCTGTGCCAACAGCAACCGTTGAATGAGTCTATATATACCATATATTGGTTGAAATAATATACATTTCGTTTATTGTTAAAAAAAACGTGCGCAGTTACATCACAAATACTGGAATCGATTTCTAAATTATGATTAATTAATCGCGGTGTATTCAAGTTTTTTTTTTACTCGAAGAATAATACGAAATATTAATTATGTCAGACTACAGTTTCAAATGTTAAAAAACAAAAAAAAATATAGTTTTTCAATAAATCAAAAACTCTAATTATAGTTAATTTTTCTTATTTTATTTCAAAAGTACACATTTTTTTAATCTTAACTATCAGAAACAATAATTTTATTAATTCATAACATAAAAACCTAATTTTTCAACTTCACTCTTCAAATATTTCTTTTTAATCCATATTAAAATTAAAAATAATTTGTCAACCGCTGATTTTAATATGTACTTAACTTAAAACTATTATGATCGATAATCGATTTATCAAATTTATTTCTAATTAAAAAAACGTCTTCCTTAAGCCCGGTTTACACACAACGACTTATTGCACGTTTTGTTGGACATATAAAATGAACAATAAGACGTACATTTTATAAAGTGTCTACACGTTCCAACTTTAACTCAGTTTTCCATACCAGTTTCAACTGTATTTCTGTTCATTCTTCAATAGTGTTCAGTTATTTTAGTGATGTTTGACGATATGGAAGAAGCACTATTGTGGTTTACCATAATGTTCCTAGTACGTGTGCAACAGAATTTCGTAGATCAGACATGTTCGCAAAAAAAAAACAAAAAATACCATGCGAATCAAATTTTATATTATTTATTAAATATTATAGGTTAATATACCTACTAATGATAGATCCTACTATAATATATTATAATTATTAAAAAGAAAAAAACGAAATTAAGTTGTTAAAACTATTAAGTAAAGGAGAAAATTAAACCTAAAAAGGACGAAAAGTTGTACTATACATCAATTTTGTAGTTACATATGACGAAATGTCGTTCAACTTCACGTAAAATGAATCCGCGCCCATCAGTCTTTCGATCCAATCTTGGATTTCATTCCGATTCGATAAGAAGTACGATTTACTGTATACATGCTCCGTTTTACTTGATATGATTAGTCGTGTTCGATAAAACATACAATAAGTTGTTGCGTGTAAACCGGCCTTTATACTTAGCAATTATTTTTTATTTTATTGAAAAAAAAAATTAGGATGTAGTCATAAAACCAATCACAAATCATTCCTGTTTTGGTATACATATAATATGAAATTGAAAAAACAACACATCATTTATTTTAAAAGGGTTTGTTTGTTTGTTTGATGTTTTTTTTTGTCATGTAAAAAATTAATGTTTAACAATTAAAATATATACTATATTTCAGTAATACACAGTAACAGTGATTTAAAAGTAATTCTGCTATATTATAGCATTGGTTGTTGCATAATTATAAAATTCGTTAAAAACCGGTTTTAACTATTCAAAATGAATAAATAATTTGATTAATTGAATATACCCGTTTTTATTACACTTCTTATGATGTTGTTTTATTATCTTTCTCGTCTGTTTTTTATTTTTTTGAAAAGTGAATAAATAGATAATTCAATTAATGCGTTGTACTTTCGATTGTCAAAATAAATATAAAAAAAGTATGAAAACATTACAATACCGATATGTTTCAGCTCTATTTACATTGAAATTAATCATTGTTATTATTGGGACGGGAATTTAAATAGGGGTTTATATGAAAACTTTTTTTTTCAGTTAATTATAGTATTATTCATAACTTTTATTTGAATATATGTTACCCAAAGATTTATTTTCTTAACTGACAAATATGAATAAAAAAAATAACTATCTTATTCTGATTTTAATAAAGTTGATTCATTTTTATAAATCACTTTTTACTTTTAAAATAATTATAATGTAATTATATGTTATAGTTATGTATATTAATTGAATTCAGTAAGACTATTGTGTTTAGTGAAATTCCCCCAAAAGCCATTGTGTTGAGAAATATTTTTGACTAAAATACAATTTTTCTCTCTATTATTATTATTTATTTAGACTCTATTTGATAGCTTTATAATAAAAACCCAAAATCACAAGATTTTATGAACATTACATTTTTAATCGTTTTCGACGCAAAAACTAGTATTTTATGAAACAGTAAAATATCGTTTCCCATCACAGTTATGTACAACGTTTGGTCTATAGTATACACTTACGTCGTGATGGAATTTTCTTAAACGAAATATTGAAAACTTCGCCAATCATCATCAATTTACGATTCTTGTTCAAACATAATTGCAGAAAGGTAAGAGTGGGCTAAAAGAAGGCGTGTTGATCTTATCATATTCTGTACTCGTTTCTATGTTTGTACATTGTGTATATGGAATTTCTATTTTATCTTAAAATCAAAATATTCAATAGTTAATCGAACATAACAAAATCGAGTAACGAATATAGTACGATTGGATTTTAATCTGTTTTTAGTAGAAATCCACAGGTACTATGGTATTTTATTTCGTGTGCCCTTGTCGATTTGAAAATGTTGGGCAACCCATTCTATAATACCTGGGGACGCCAACATCCGAAAAAATCAATAAGTGAACTTTTACAATGATGTTTTTTATTTTCCATGATGGAACTTTTGGATACTAAAACTTAACAAGAAGTTTCACACATAGTATCTCTTTATATTGAAAGTCGGACCCACGGATTAGATCCATTTAAGACTTTGAAAGGTTATTTGATATTATTTATTATCAAGGGCGTATTCATGGGAGGTTATATTTTTAAGTAATAATTAATTTTGTTATAAATTATTGAAAAGATTTTGACAATGGAGTTGGGAGTTTGAATCTCCAAATCTCCCTCTCACCTACGCCATTCTTTATCATTGATAGAAAACCTATTTTCCCGCCGAAATGTATACACGGGTGTGGCTCAAGGGGTTGGTGACATGGTCTACGATTAAGGCGACATTTAACATTTTTATACTTTAATTGTTTTTAAAAAAAAAATTACAATTCCTAGTACCTACTTAAACTACCTTATAATAACCCAATACTGACCTACCTTATATGAAATTATGTGTAGTAAAAAATAAAACTCTATAAGTTGTTGGTTTTTTTTTTTTTTTAAATTAGTAGTGGTTATTTGTGGTTTATTTGTCTACAAATTATTGATCTAATCAATTACTTTACATTAATACATTTAATGAACTCAGAATTTAAGTATAATTATAATTTAAGCCTATTTAAGTATTACTTTTGTAAAAAAAAAAAAATTGTTTACGAAACTTAGTTTACCTAGGTGTGAGTAAATATTGGGGCCTGTGTGTATACATACAAGATCTATGGATATTTGTGAAATCTAATATCTTTGTCGTAAACGTACATTTGTATACGTACAACGTTCGTAAATTTTGCTGCACAGTTCAATTTCAAATTGTCACACTGATATCACGTCGAGCACTATTTTAAGTTCTAAGAGACGTTAAAAAAAAAAAAACTATGTTTAATTTATTTATATATACATTATAGCATGTCAGCACACTCATTATTGACAGCTTTGTCCGATAGTAATCGTGTCGAATGGTCGGTACGGAACCGTGAAAAGACTGACGTGATAATCGGAAACAAAATAAAAAAAAAAAGAAAACGATACTTAAATTAAATATTATATTTCAGAAACAATGCAATCGTTTATTATTTGGTTCAGGGTACGGAAAAAAGTATTAAAACGTTTTAATTGTTTTCCGATAACGAGTGCGAGTCGACGGTAAATAAAATGAAAAATATACTGCAGTACTGCAATAATAAATGATCGCAGTGCGTTGTACGTGAACGGAATACACGGTTCGCAGCAGCGCGAGCGAAACTACCGAGGTCTTAACGTGCGCGTTCGATCTGAACTTTAATATTTCACCCGTAGCTTAACGGTTACACGATTTTCAACTGATAACCGCTAGTGTTGCGCGCACGAAACGACCGGTGACGCGGCGGCACGGGCGGAAAACGCGTATATTACGTATAATTTTCACGTTTGCCCCCC